TTGTTGGTAAGCCACAGCCATGTGGTAAAATATAAAATAACAAAAATGGGTTAATTCTAGCTGTGAAAGTTAGCTAACAATACGCTTAAGTGATTGACCAAACAATGATTTAAATAATATAGTTTCTGTGTAATTATTTCAGGAGTCTGGGCGGCCGGAAAACAAACAAGCAGCCTCCTACAACAAATTGACGGCTCCAATGTGGCCGACTATATCCGAAAAACAAACAAGCAGCCTAACAAAGCAGCCTCCTACAACAAATGTGCCCTCCAGTTTTGGGTTTCAGATCCAGATGAAGTCAAGTTGACAACCAAGAATAGCCATTGCAAGGACATACCCCCTGAGACCTTTGTGTATTTTCTTTATGAAAGTGTTTGCTATGCTTGCAAGAGTTATGCTACAGCTGTAACAGTGGAGCCAGACGAGTTTATCCTACAGTGTGATTTGGGCTGGTTTTGTTCTAAGGGGCTGGGGTCTGAGTAGCTGAGGTTAGTGACATGAGCTTTTCATGCCTATGAGGCTCATGCCTAGTACAAAGGCCAAGCAGTAAGGCTCAGATGAGCTTCCCTTGTTTGCCACACGTCACTGCTGAAGAATGTATGTGTGTCTCTGTGCAGCTCTACTAGGAAAGAGAACTCTGGAAACTTGTCTGACATTCCTGAGCTTCACCCCATGCTTCTTTCCCATTTTCTGGTTCTAATACAGTTCTTTTGACTTTAACAAATAAAACTACAAGCATATCGCCTTCTGTGTCTTATGAATAAGGAACATCAAACTGCAGGGCTGTCTTGTGGATTCCAGACACAGGGCTACTGAACCCTTCGCTCTCTTTATACTTTATCTGGAATCATCCAGTACTTTGTGAGGATTAAGACAGGGGCTCTGGCTTTGTAGTCTGTCCTGGCTTTGAACTACATAGTTAGACCTCAAACTCAGAATTCTCTTGCTTCAGTGATAGAATCTCAGGCATCCAACATCACACCAAACTTTTTCTATTTTTATGATTAGTTTTGGACTACTTTTAAATATCAGGTCTCAACAGATACAGTGCCTACTTCGGTGGAATCTCCTCTTATATAGACAGGCTGATGAAGAAAGTAGGCGTTCAGTAAAGCCTTTTGAAAAAACAGAGTACTGCCAACCTGGTTATTTTAGTTCTTAAGTACGATTCATAGGCGTTACTTACCATATACCAACAAGGTCCAGAATGCAAGCACAGTGGGCAGCAGACGCGGATCTCTACAGTAGATCTTCCTCATCAGGCTCTTCTAGCTGCATCCTTCCTGCTTCTTTTTTTTTTCGAGACAGGGTTTCTCTGTAGCTTTGGAGCCTCTCCTGGAACTAGCGTTTGTAGACTAGGCTGACCTCGAACTCACAGAGATCCGCCTGTCTCTGCCTCCCGAGTGCTGGAATTAAAGGTGTGAGCCACCACCGCCCGGCTCCTTCCTGTTTCCTGACTCCTTCATTCACTGGCAATGTCTCCAGGTCGGTCTCTGTCTCTCTATGCCTCTGTCTCTTTGTGTGCACCTGTCCCTCTCTGCATCTGCACCCCCCCCCCCCGTGTGTGTATTCACTTTTTCCACTCCAATTATCCTTGGTTATGTATCTGTCTGCCCCACCAGATCTATCAAAAACTCAATCAGGTAGTGACTCCAATTGCAGCTGCTGTACCAGATGTGGTGTCCTTACCTGAGCAGATTAACACATGTCCTGGTACACGGTATGCAGCTATTGATCCAGCAAATGCCTGTTTCTCAGTTACCTGTCCAGAAGGACCACCAGAAGCTCTGCATCACTCTGAAGATATTATAATGTCTATGTTCATTAAACCTCTTCTCATTAAACAGTGTAAGTTCCCCCATTCTACTATTCACATTTTGTGGGTGAGACTGGCAAGGATCAGTGAAGACAAGGGCTTTATTCAAGTTCACATCACTAGTACCTGATACAGCCAACTTGAAACCTAGGTTTCTTGGAACACTTGTGTGCTTTTCCTCATAACCATTTGCATTTTTTTTTGTATTTTAACAATGAGCTTAGAAGGCTGGTCTTAGTGACACATGCCTCTAAATCCTCTTTTTCTTGCTTCCTTCTAACCTTTAATCTGGAAAGTTCTGAAACTCTTTGGGTATCAAGTAAATGCACATTTTTTTTTTAATCTCTGAGTCTTTAGATCATAGCACCACGACTGTTGCTTGGGCTCTTAGCAAGAATTTAGTAAGTGAATAATTCCCTCCAACTTTGATCAAAACCTGCCCTCAGAAAGAATTTAAATATAAATCGAGAGAGAGAGAGACAGACAGGCAGACAGACAGACACAGAGAGAGAAACAGAGAGAGACAGAGAGAGAGAGAGAGAGAGAGAGAGAGAGAGAGAGAGAGAGAGAGAGAGAGAGAACATGCCCATATGTTCAGGTCAGCCTCAGGTGTCATTTCTCAGGACCCACCCACTTTGTTATTTGAGATAGTCTCCTGCTAGAACCTATGAATCACCAATTAAGCTAGACAGACTGGCCAAGAAGCCCCGGGGCTCCTCCTTTTTCTGCCCTTCCAGTGCAGGGATCGCCCATGTGCCAGCATGCCCAACCATCTGTGTAGTCACTCAGGTGTTCATGTTTGTATGGCAAGCACGTTATGGACTGAGGTATCTCCCTAGTTTTCTAAAAGCAATTTTTCTTCTTAGGAATATACCAGATGTATTGAGTATTGATGTGGTGGACCTGACCATGTGACTTTTTATAACCTGGACTGTTTTGTGGGAGGAAGAACCTCGGACTGGAAAAGCACTCCCAAGCTCAAAGCCTAAGGAGCTGTTCTGTGGGAGCTTGGAAGATAAGAATGCTCAGAGAAAAGCAGACAATGAAAACCCGGCTTGCGAAATTTCAGAGGGAAGCAAAGACTCTCTCAGGACCATTTGTGTCATATCTGAATTAAGCATCTGTGGAAATAAAATCTTTGCTTTTCTGGGACAATGGAAGCAGGTTAACTGGAGTTGGAAAAAAATCATGTGTGACTAATATGGACCAGCATCACTGGGGTAAAATCTTTTGGGAAATATTTCCTCAGGGACAGCATCCACAAGCTGTGTTCTTGGGTCAGGGCCAGCAAGACTGTATCTCAAGCTGGTAGTATAACTTGGCAAACAGTGTATGGGAGTCTCCTACATGGTGCTGGCTTTGAAGGTATGAAGGTGTTGTGAAGAGAATCTGAGGGCTTGGCACTGTGTGGTAGGTTCAGTGTCTCCCTGAAGCGTGGCCAGGAGAGGCACTGATGAAGATGCGGCTTTAGTTGCCATAGAAACCCCAGGATTAAAGCAGCCATGGGGACAATCTGAAGCTCGGCACCATGTAATTGGGTTGGCCTATAGAGAAGCCAGGAGGTCATTGGTGAAGGTGGGCCAGCAGTTGCAGTGCAGATACCAGCTTACTGGCGACACCATGGCTACGGGACACCACCAGGACAGTGACAATTGTGGAGTGGAACCGACTTGAGCTTACCAGACAAGCTGTGTGTGACGTTGGACACTGAGCTATTTATATTGTTGGATTTTGTTTTTTACCTTGATCTGATTTATAACTATGTTCTGGTTCTTTCCTCTTAAAACAAGAAAACATAACTTGCTTTTGAATTTACAGGAACCCACAGTTAAGAGTCTTTGGACTTTTACAGAGACATTGGACTTTTAGAGTATTGAAAATTTTAAAGACTGGATTTTTAAAAGTTGAACTGTAGGGTTGGAGAGATGGTTCAGCGGTAAGGAGCACTGCACCTTCCAGAGGTCCTAATTTCAATTCCCAGCAACCACATGGTGGGCTCACAATCTGATGCCTTCTTCTGGTCTGCAAGCATACATGCGGACAAAGCACCTGTACACAGAAAAGATAAATCTTCAAAAAATAAAGTTCAACTGTATTTTGTATTGTGATATTAATATGAGATCCTGATGAGAAGGAAAGGCCATGGCTTAATAGGAATATTAGTGTGTCAAGATGACAGGGAGTGACGTGTTCAGGTTAATTTTTGCATTGACTTGATACATCTGGAAAGAGGGAGTCTCAATCAAAGAGTTGCCTCGATTGTGTTGGATTCTAGGGTATTTTCTTGACTGATAATTGATGCAGGAGGGGGTCCAGCCCACTGTGGGTGATGCCAACCCTGGGCAGGTGGTCCTCAGTTGTATCAAAAATGCAAGCTAAGCAAACCATGAGGAGTAAGCCAGTAAGCCGCATCCCTCCATGACCCCCTGCCTCCAGGTTCATGCCTTGAACGCCTGTCCTGATTTCCTATCGTAATGGACTATAAGCTGCAAGGTGAAGTAAACTCTTTTCTCCCCAAGTTTCTTTACCATAGCACTAGCAATTAAAGTAGGGCAGAAATGCAAAAGGAAACATAGGTCCTAAAATTAATGTATTGTGGAGTCCTTAAAATGTTTCTTGAAATAGGCATCCTCCTGAATATTAACCTTCATCAGGCGATGAAAGGAGACACAGAGACCCACATGGGAGCACTGGACTGAAATCTCAAGGTCCAAATCAGGAGCAGAAGGAGAGAGAGCACGAGCAAGGAACTCAGGACGGCGAGGGGTGCACCCACACACTGAGACAATGGGGATGTTCTATCGGGAACTCACCAAGGCCAGCTGGCCTGGGTCTGAAAAAGCCTGGGATAAAACCGGAGTCTCTGAACATAGCAGACAATGAGGACTACTGAGAACTCAAGAACAATGACACTGGGTTTTGATCCTACTGCACGTACTGGCTTTGTGGGAGCCTACGCAGTTTGGATGCTCACCTTACTAGACCTGGATGGAGGTGGGTGGTCCTTGGACTTCCCACAGGGCAGGGAACCCTGATTGCTCTTTGGGCTGATGATGGAGGGGGACTTGATCGGGGGAGGGGGACTTGATCGGGGGCGAGGGGGAGGGAAATGGGAGGCAGTGGCGGGGAGGAGGCAGAAATCTTTAATAAATAAATAAATTAAAAAAAATAAATAAAGGGGGAACATGGCCGCTTCCGGTCCCGCATTGTGGCTGGTGCTAGGCTGACCGCGGCCGAGGCCCTGTGCGCTCCTCCCTGTGCATCTCTCGCCCGCGGCCGCAGAGGGTGCGGCGGCCTCCTGTTCTCGCGCCATGGAGAAGAGCTCGAGCTGCGAGAGTCTCGGCGCGCGGCCCCCGGCGGCACGGCCACCCAGTGAGGACTCACTGTCCAGTGCTTCTACTTCTCATTCAGAGAACTCGGTGCATACGAAGTCAGCTTCTGCTATATCTTCAGATTCCATTTCAACTTCTGCAGACAACTTTTCTCCTGATTTGAGGCCAAAGATGTGACTTACATATGTCCCTTCACTGGTGCCGTACGAGGAACGCTGACTGTCACAAATTACAGATTATATTTTAAGAGCATGGAACGGGACCCCCCTTTTGTTCTAGATGCTTCTCTTGGAGTGATAAGTAGAGTAGAAAAAATTGGTGGTGCATCTAGCCGAGGTGAAAACTCTTATGGCCTGGAGACTGTGTGCAAGGATATCAGGAATTTACGATTTGCTCATAAACCAGAGGGGCGAACAAGAAGATCCATATTTGAGAATCTAATGAAATATGCATTTCCTGTATCTAATGGCTTGCCTCTTTTTGCTTTTGAGTATAAAGAAGTATTTCCTGAAAATGGGTGGAAACTGTATGACCCCCTTCTAGAGTATAGAAGGCAGGGGATTCCAAACGAAAGCTGGAGAATAACAAAGATAAATGAACGCTATGAAGTTTGTGACACATATCCTGCCCTCTTGGTTGTGCCAGCAAACATTCCTGATGAGGAGCTAAAGAGAGTGGCATCTTTCAGGTCACGGGGTCGAATCCCAGTTTTATCCTGGATTCATCCTGAAAGTCAAGCCACAGTCACTCGCTGCAGCCAACCCATGGTGGGGGTGAGCGGGAAGCGCAGCAGAGAGGACGAAAAATACCTTCAGGCCATCATGGACTCCAACGCCCAGTCGCACAAAATATTTATATTTGATGCTCGGCCAAGTGTCAATGCTGTTGCCAATAAGGCAAAGGGAGGAGGTTATGAAAGTGAAGATGCCTATCAAAATGCAGAACTCGTTTTTCTGGATATTCACAATATTCATGTTATGCGAGAGTCATTACGGAAGCTTAAGGAAACTCACTGGTTGTCTAATTTGGAATCTACGCACTGGCTGGAACACATTAAGCTCATCCTTGCTGGCGCTCTTAGGATTGCTGACAAGGTGGAGTCAGGGAAGACGTCTGTGGTGGTGCACTGCAGTGATGGCTGGGATCGCACAGCTCAGCTCACTTCCTTGGCCATGCTCATGTTGGACGGATACTATCGAACCATCCGAGGATTTGAGGTCCTCGTAGAGAAAGAGTGGCTAAGCTTTGGACATCGATTCCAACTGAGAGTTGGCCATGGAGATAAGAACCATGCAGACGCAGACAGATCCCCTGTCTTCCTTCAATTTATCGACTGTGTCTGGCAGATGACAAGACAGTTCCCTACTGCGTTTGAATTCAACGAGTATTTCCTCGTTACTATCCTGGACCACTTGTACAGCTGTTTATTTGGGACCTTCCTCTGTAACAGTGAACAGCAGAGGGGGAAAGAGAATCTTCCTAAGAGGACAGTGTCACTGTGGTCCTACATAAACAGCCAGCTGGAAGATTTCACTAATCCTCTTTATGGAAGCTACTCCAACCATGTCCTTTACCCAGTAGCCAGCATGCGCCACCTAGAACTCTGGGTAGGCTATTACATAAGGTGGAACCCCCGGATGAAACCACAGGAACCTATCCACAACAGATACAAAGAACTTCTTGCCAAAAGAGCAGAGCTTCAGAGAAAAGTAGAGGAACTTCAGAGAGAAATTTCCAACCGCTCAACCTCTTCTTCAGAGAGAGCCAGCTCTCCTGCACAGTGTGTGACTCCTGTCCAAACTGTTGTATGAAAGGACTATTGTCAGGGGCATCGTTGCCAGGAATTTGACATTACAGCACCTTAGCAGGCTTAGGGTAGAAAGCCTTCTGTGTTTTAAATCCATCTATGGGAGAAACCTTCAGATGCCGTATTTATTTCAAGTCTCTCTTAGATGAGTTTAGAAACGTCCGCTGCAGGTGACAATGGAAATTATTTCATTTGTAATTAAGGTATGACACTAATCTTAAGCCACCCAAAGAATACCAAAGTACTGGAATTTTGTATCCATGCATGGGAACAAATTTTTAATTCAAAAATGTCTTAAAAAACTGAGTACCTGGCAAGATCTCTAGGCGGCAGAAAAGCAAGAGCAGCTGTTCTTATACCCAAGAGCATATGTGCTGGGCCTTGTTGGACATGTCAGATCAAAATCACCCTTCTCAAATTTCCTAATTTTTGTGGTATTTAATAAAGAAATTATTATGGCATATCAGTAAAAAAAATAAAAAATGTTTCTTGAAATAATTTATTATACACACGATACTTCCTCTCTTCTATTTGGGCCTCCATCAGCATTCAGTCCTCATGGCTAACGAGCCAAAATAGAAGCCACTGAATCTGTCTGCAAAAGAAATTGGGAAAATGGACAAACAAGATATAAAAAGGTGAGAATTGACTAGCTGCTCATTTAGGAGGGCTGCGGAAGTTCAGAGGCATCTTAATTACAAGAGGTGTTTGGAAAGCATGTTGTTCCTGCTGTAGCTGATGGTGGGACCTGGGGGAATGGGACCAATAGATGAGGCAGACTAAAGTTTCTCACAATAGCCAGCTTTCCTCAGAGCCTCAGACGTCTGTACTCTGAGGGTAGGAAGAGTCACCTGAGTAAAGCGCACAATCTCAAGGACAAGCTGCACAAGGCAAACCCACGTTTTCCACAGAGGCGCATGAGCAACAACAGCTGGAATAAACTCACTCCCTCTCTGCCACACCTGGGAGGGCCACAACGGCGCATTCCAAGAACAGTTTGTGTGTTTGAAGAAACAGGCCACACGACTCTCGTTTTCTTGGAGTTTTCTCATGAGCACTCAGCGTTCTCATATGACTCCACTCTTGGACTCTGTTCCGACAGCATGCTTCTAAAGAAATCATTGTAGGGCCGGGCGGTGGTGGCGCACGCCTGTAATCCCAGCACTCGGGAGGCAGAGGCAGGCGGATCTCTGTGAGTTCGAGACCAGCCTGGTCTACAAGAGCTAGTTCCAGGACAGGCTCCAAAACCACAGAGAAACCTTGTCTCGAAAAAAACCAAAAAAAAAAAAAAAAGAAAATAAAGAAAAAAAAAGAAATCATTGTAGTTTTACATGTAAATTCCAGTGTTTCTGAGAAGAAAATTCAGGAAATTATGTACTCTTTGGGACTATCTACTTCATGGAATTTTTTTTTTAAATATTTATTTATTTATTATGTATACAATAGTCTATCTGTATGTATGTCTGCAGGCCAGAAGAGGGCACCAGACCTCATTACAGATGGTTGTGAGCCACCATGTGGTTGCTGGGAATTGAACTCAGAGCCTTTGGAAGAGCAGGCAATGCTCTTAACCACTGAGCCATCTCTCCAGCCCCTACTTCATGGAATTTTTACCATTTGCAAATGGAACCTTATACTCATCAGCAGTCATGAGTTATTACTCCTCAACCATAGTGGATCTATTTTCTTTATGTGTTTAATTTACTCTGAGTATTTCAAATAAGCAGAATAAAACATTTTATGGCTTTTTGTATCTGGCATCTTCCACTTTGTATACAGGTTTCCTTCCATCCTTTCTCCCTCCCTCCCTCCCTCCCTCCCTCCCTCCCTCCCTCCCTCCCTCCTTCCCTCCCTCCCTTCCTTCCTTCCTAGTTTTGTTTTTTTTTTGAGCAGGGCCATGAAATGTAGTTAAGATTGACAGTGAATTCACTATGTTAGGTGAGTATGGACTTGAACTTGCCATTCTCCTGCCTCAGTTTCCCAAGTGCTGGGAATACACATGGTCCTCACTGTGCCCAGTTTTGTACAATTCTTTCATATTTTAGCTATGTTGTATCATATATTAGTACTTGATCCTTTATTGCAATTGAAAAATATCCCATTACATTGCAATTTTATGCCAACATTTTCTTTTTATCTTTCATTTGGTCGATCATAATTATACACATTTATGGAGTACTATGTGGTGCTTTAGTCTGTGGATGCAATATAAAATGGTTAAATCAATCTAACATAATCATTAAATTGTGCTTAGATCATAATTGCCAATGATTTAGCATTTACTTTCCTATCTCTTTTACGATGAGTAAATTTGAAATGTGCTTAGTCTATTTGGAAATATATAAGGCATTACACTGACTGTAGTCAGTAATGTATTTCTCTTTTTCTAGAACTTTGTACTCTTGGTCAACGACTTCCCATGCCCTCTTCTTTTTTAATTATAGCTATCCTAGTGGATGTTAAGCAGTATCTCATTTGTGGTTGTGTGCATGTGAGCTTGTGTGTGCATGTGTGTCCATGTGGCTGTGTACATATGCATTAATGTTGTTGTGCATGTATGTGTGGGTGTGCATATGCGTGGTGCTGCATGGATGTGTACATGTATGTATGTGATGTGCATGTTTGGTTGCATGTGTATGTGCTTGTGTGTGTGTGCTTGTGTGTATATGTGCCTGTGTTATTGTGTGTATAAGTATGTGCGTGTGTGTGCATGTATGTGTGCATACGTGTGTGTATATGTGTATGTGCGTGTATGTGTGCATGTTTGTATATGTGTCTCTGTGTATGTTTATGTGCATGTACGTATGGTTGTGTATGTGAGTATATGTAGTTGTGTGTGTATGTGTGGTTGTATGTGTGTGCCTGTGTGTAAGTGTGTGCCTATGTGTATGTGCATATGTGTATGTGTGTTTGCTAAAGATAAAGAGCAGGACCTTGAACATAATTGTCAAGCCACCTATTTCTGAGCTAAATGTTCAGCTCATTTTGGCTCTGGTTTACATTTCTTCAATGACTAATAATGCCAAATACTTTTTGATGTGCTTGTTGTAGACCTTTTTTTGGAGAAACATTTAGCCATGTCCTCGGTTCCCATCACCTCTGTTGCAACCTGTCTGGCATCTATACTATCCCCATGCTGCATGACTTAGGAATTCCCAGCTGGCTCAGAATTACTAGGGCTTTGCATCGGTCACTGACAACCTCTCTATTTCTTGTCCCACTTTTAAACTCAAGAATGATTAGAAAAGAACAAATCCGTTGACCTGGCCAATCACATAGGATGCCTGGTTTTGTGTAGCTGCCTTCAATTTCTGTAGACCAATGGCCTCTAATCAGGACAAACTTGAAAGCATCCCCTCTCCCCCACTATAAAGCTCTCCTATCCCCTGCCTGGCATTATCTGCTAAATGCAAGTGATGGTGTCCGTCTCCCTTGCAACACATAGCAAATTCTGAACAAAGAGCCTGCTTGTTCTCATTTGGGTGGGTTTTGTTCATTTTCTCAGTGGATTGCTAGATAAAATACTTCTCATTTATTAAATACAAATTTTAGATAAACAAGTAATTTGTTAGCAGGGCTGTATCCCAACTGTTGTATGATTAATATTTGCTTAACTGGAGCCCTGTGCACTCGTAAAGCTGTAGGCCAACACAGATCCGCAGACAGAGGGGTGGTGGCTTTTCTAACACCAGAGAACTGGATGATTCGGCTCAGCTGAGCCCTCTGGCTTGCCGAGTGCCGAGGAAAGGGCACTGTTGCTTTGTTGTGCTGTATTCTTGTAGCAGGCTAGAGATTATCCTCTGATCAACATGCTTTCATTTACCTTTATTAGGCTGCGGGACTTTCAAATTATTGTTTGGGTTTTAGCTGCAGACAATACAAGGCATTTCATTCTAAAAGCCCTTCGCTCCTTGCAAGTTAATTAAAGGCACTTCTATGGTCTCTGCTGCCAGTTTCCTCTGCTCTTCATTCGAGTAATGTTAATTTAGTCCCCAGGGCCTCTGGAGATTCATGCAGGCTTCAATTCTGATTTATTTTTGTCTTGACCAGATGGCTCCAGTTTCCTGTGATTGCACCAATGTCTTTTGGATTATCCTGTTTATCTTTCCCAGTACTCAAGGTTAGGGTTGATTCTTATGAGCCATGTTTGCCATCAATATAAGCCATTTACCTCCACTGCTGCTTGGACATCAAAACCAGAGCTATTAAATGTGATATATGGTTTTCTAAACTCTGACAGAAAGTGGTAGAAGGTTGGTTTGTTTTTCCACATTTCAGAAGCTGCAGTCACTGGAAAGGCAGTACTGAACATAGAGGAAGGGTTCCGGTTAGCCCTCACTGGGTCGATCTCTGCATTTTCAGGAGTAGTCATGAAGACCACAAACAGAATATCTCTAATAAAGTTAATAAACATACAAAGGAACATATGATGTTTGAAGAAACAATACTTCAAAACCAGCAAAAGCGGTGCCTCACTGTGAGATTTTGGATTAGAGTCACACAGAGGGAACACTCAGTTCTTGTTAAAACAGCACCTTCATGTTCTGACACAATGAACACTCTGGTAGCCATCCAGGCTAAAGTGTAATACTCTCTGGGCAGGGGTTTTGAAGCCTTGGACAATGTGCTGGAAGACACACTCTAGAGAGGGCTATGATATTCGGACTTAGGCATCTAGGGGAGAGGGAGGTCCTCTTGGTCCCCTTGATTCCCATATGTGCTCTTTTGGCTGGATTTAGAGAGCAAATTACCACAAGCATGGGCAGTAAGAGGAAAGCAGGACGTGGACCTGCGACCTCTACACAAGCGCAGTTCAAAGAAATGAGCCAAGTCCAACGCATGTGTTTTTTGACAAAGAACAACAGTTTTGAAGAAATGAGAGGATGAGGGCATCTCTGGACTAGGGTAGTCCATTCTAGGGCTGTCCAGGCTCTAGTGACTAGGGTAGATGGGAAAGTGTGAGGGCTAGTGGAAGATAGGGGAGGCACCAATGAGATTTTTTTATTTAGGTGCATTATGGCCCAAATTGCACATCTTGGTGTCTAAGGCTATTTTCTCACCTTAATAGGGATGACTCTCTTTTGGAATTAGTCTGTACGGCTTCCTGTATGCAGCAAAGACAAAGCCGCATGGCTTTCTTGACAGTTACAGAAATCAAGTGACTTGGGCTTAAAATAATTACCATATTAGTGTGCAAATTTAGTATGATTTGAGGTGGCATGTACTCATTTTTTACACATATGTGTATGTCCACATATACATACCAACACACATATAATCCAGAAATGAAAAATTATCATTTTTAGCAATTACAGTTACCCAAGCCCCCTGAAAAAGCAACCCATAGCCATCAAACTGTAAAGATGCATGGTTAACGAGGGCATTGAGAATCCTTGTTCTGATTCCCAGATCGGTTCCTTTCCTGGCCTACCTGTGCAGTGCACAGTCCCAGTGGGC